CTCTCTATGCCCCGCCCTTTCAAGTGGTAAGAGTTACATTCATGGGCGGTTCGTGGTTGCAGATCTATGAATCATTTGGCGGGACCCCGGGGTCCCGCAAAAATCAAGTGAATAATAATTATTATTTTTCAGTCCGCCCACTCGTGACCCCGACAGCAACGCGCCGCCCGCCCAGACTCGTGCCAACAAGCGCCAGCAGCAGGCGGCGATCAACACGATGGGCGCCACCCCACCGGCCAAACGCGAGCCCCCGGGGGGCGTCCGCCGCAGTCGCGCGCGGCGACGACGCCCTCCGGTCGGCCGTCGATCCTCAGCTTCTTTGCCAAGGCGAGCCCCTACCGCCGCCCCCCCCCCCCCCCAGGCAGTGAATTTAACGTGTTTGTGTAATTTTTCAACTTTTTACGAAACTTAGTGTCCCCGAGTAGCTCTCGACGAGGCCAATCGACTGACCGCTAGTTTTGTTGTTGTCGGTAAGGCAACAAGACTCGTGTCGCTACACGGGTTTTCCCACCCCGGAGAAAGTGATGGTGCCCCGGGGTCCCGCCAATTGCTTCATATAGCGATTTCAAATCGGGTCCATATTTTTTTAAACACTCTGTATCATGTTGAACAGGCACTGGGCCACCAACGCGAATGACGATTATCTAAACCGGCGCTGGGATCTCCCCCCTAGGTCGGCTCAGCCATAAAACAATTAGTACCTGGTGCGGTGTGTAGTAACCATCGTCGCTGTGGGAGACAAAGGCGGCCGGGGCGTGGTGTCGGCCAACCAACCCCCTCGTGTCTTTGTGCACGAGACAGAAGCATCAAAGATAAAGATCCCCCCGTATAGCCTTAACAGACTGTGGGGGGGAGGGGGGGGGCAAGCGCTGTTAGCGAGTAGAAATCTATGAAGGCCTGCACTTTGGCACACGAGGCAGTGGGTGGGTGGTTGTGGTCTTCACCACGCCCGACAAAAGCGCCACACGTGCGCGCACTCTGCAAGCTTCGGGTCGCGTGTTGCCTGCTAACCGCATTTTTTCGCTCGCCCGACCACAGCTCGCTGAAGGGGAGGACGGTAGGGGAGGAGGAGGAGGAGGGCATCAAGGCCCCAGTGCAGATGGCAGAAGCAGATAGAGTCGACACCTCATGGGAAACACGTGCCTCCCCGCTCTTTTGCTTCCTCCTGAACGAGACTCGCCCGCACTTGGGGAGGGGGGGGGGGGTCGGGCAGCTGCCAGAAGTCACGCGGTGTTCGCGATCACAATCTTTGTGTGTTCCTGCAGGAGGAGGAGGAGGAGGAATCCGATGGGCTGTGAAGCTCTTGATTTTTTCACAGATGTCCACTACGGCCGCGGGGTCAGAACGTTACAACAGCACGCAACACAAAAAACACGATAGGAGTTTAAAGTATATGAAAGGTAAACCAATTTACTACAAACATATATATACAAATAAAAGTATATGAAAGGTAAATAAATAACTTAAAACATATATGCAATACAAATCTAAACTATTCTATTACCAGGTAAAGCCCAACTGAGCTATTAACTTATTTTTTTCAGAAGCGACCCGGTCACAAATGATGGCTCAACGAAGTGGCCCGTCGTACGGAAATTTGGAGGAGCGAAATAATCAAAATAATGTGGTCCGGACTGGCAGAGGAGTTCAAGATGCCATCGTGGTGGTTAAAGATATCGGTGTCACCACCACCATCACCACCAACCACCACCACCACCAACACCACCAACCACCAACCACCACCACCAACCACCATCACCACCACCATCACCAACCACCACCAACCACCACCACCATCATTGCAAACAATCTCGATTTGAAGTTTTCGTGACTGCAGGAATCCATACTCTTTGGTTCTTTCGGTAAAGTCACGTAGGTAGAAAATAAAATAAATCACGACGTTTCGGGCGCAACACAAGCGTCCGTCATCAGGTGGGAAAATTTTATACCTACGTGACTTTACCGAAAGAACCAAACAATATTACAAACAATATCTAAACACATTTTGTTCTTGATGGTTGCTGATTGAGCACACAGGCCCCGAAGACTCCGAGCGGCCAGTAACGAACGGCACTATTTATACGAGTCGCTCCGTTTCTTGAATTGGGTTATTTACTGTAACTCAAAAGCGGATCAGTGCGAATACAGACGCAGCAAGAGAAGTGTCGTGACCTGCGAGTGTGGCGAATGAGTGAGTTGTTGTGACCGGCAGTGTGGTGAGTGGACGGGTGTGGTCAGTGGATGGGTGTGTGAGTGGGAGAGTGGGTGGGTGAGTGGGGAGTGGGTGAATGAGTGAGTATTGTTGTGACTGGCAGAGTGGTGAGTGGATGGGTGTATGAGTGGGAGAGTGGGTGGGTGAGTGAGTGAATGTATTGTTGTGACTGGCAGTGTGGTGAGTGGGAGAGTGGGGAGTGAGTGGGAGAGTGGGGAGTGAGTGGGTGGGTGAATGAGTCAGTGTAGTGCTGTGACTGGCAGTGTGGTAAGTGGGAGAGTGGGTGGGTGGGTGAGTGGGAGAGCGGGTGTATTGTTGTGACTGGCAGTGTGGTGAGCGGATGGGTGTGTGAGTGGGAGAGTGGGTGGGTGAGTGAGTGAGCGAGCGGGTGAATGAGTATTGTTGTGACCGGCAGTGTGATGAGTGGATGGGTGTATGAGTGGGAGAGTGGGTGGGTGAGTGAGAGTAATGTTGTGACTGGCAGTGTGGTAAGTGGATGGGTGAGTGGGGAGTGGGTGAGTGAGCGGGTGAATGAGTGAGTATTGTTGTGACCGGCAGTGTGGTGAGTGGGAGAGTGGGTGGGTGAGTGGGAGAGTCGGTGAATGAGTGTATTGTTGTGACCGGCAGTGTGGTGAGTGGGAGAGTGGGTGGGTGGGTGAGTGTATTGTTGTGACCGGCAGTGTGGTGAGTAGATGGGTGAGTGGGAGAGTGGGTGGGTGAGTGGGGAGTGGGTGAATGAGTGAGTATTGTTGTCACCAGCAGTGTGGTGAGTGGATGGGTGAGTGGGGAGTGGGTGAGTGAGTGAGCGGGTGAATGAGTATTGTTGTGACCGGCAGTGTGGTGAGTGGATGGGTGTGTGAGTGGGAGAGTGGGTGGGTGAATAAGTGAGCGGGTGAGTGTGTTGTGATATGCAGTGCAGTGCGGTGAATGAGTGAGTGTATTGTTATGGGGAGCGATGGCGCAGTGGTTAGCGCGCTGCGCTCCGAAACCGGCGATCCGAGTTCGATTCCCCCGTTCACGACCAACTCCAGTGACGGTTCCTGGGCCTCCCCCTAAGTCAACTCAGCCTCAAATGAGTACCTGGTGCGACGTGTAAAACATCGCCACTGGGGAGACAAAGGCGGCCCGGCGTGGTGCTAGGATGGATGCGTTCAACTTCCTGTAAATCGTCCCCCCACCGTGCACCCCTCTAGACGGGGTATTTGGCCTACTCTTCCACGCCGCAATAGGGGCGTTGGGAGGTGCCCACACTTTACCCCACCACCACCACCAGCACACGTGGCCTGCCGATTTACTAACAAGCGGTGCCCCCCCCCGCCCCCCCGTGGATGGGACACGGTGTGGTGGGGTGGTTGTGTGACACTGTGCACGCACAGCGTCGTTGGGTAAGTAGTGGGTGCCGCTACGGGAGATCGAATCGCGCGCGTTAAGGGGACGTCCATAAATGACGTCACGCACCTAGGGCGGGGCGGGTGGTCAGACTATTTGTGACGATGTGTGACGAGAGGGGTGGGGGGTGGGATTGAGAAATGTGACGTCACGTAAAAATGCGCAACTTTAAATAAATATAGACAACACGTTCTACTTAATTAAGTAGACTTTTTAATAAATGTTTAAATGTTTTCTCCTACAACATCAGAGTTCAGCGCCACATTAAATACGCACTACAATGACGATAATTTAAAGCGATTTGAAGCAAGTTTTATTTTTTTGTGGGGGGGGGGGGCGGGCGGCAGAGCTTTGTGACGTCATATTAGAGGGGGGGGTCTGACTTTTTTTGACGTCGTGTGACAAAGGGGGGGGGGTAAAAAAAATCGTCCTAAATCGCGTGACGTCATTTATGGACGGCCCCAAAGCAATGTCGGCATTCTTCACCGCCACTACAAGTTGTCAAAAACAAACAAACAAACCATGCAAAGTGCACGCCGTAGAGTGAGCGTATGTTAGCAAAGCAAACAAACTAAAACAATAAACGTGTCTTCTTTGGTTCTTTCGGTAAAGTCACCACGTAGAATGAGAATAAAATAATAAATTGATAAAATAAAATAACACAATAACATTCTCACGACGTTTCGGCCACAACACAAGCGGCCTTCATCAGGTGAAGGGACGAGACTGTCTGGAGGACAGCGCTATTCTTGGTTCTTTAGGTAAAGTCACGTTGAAGGGACAGTCTCGTCCCTTCACCTGATGAAGGCCGCTTGTGTTGTGGCCGAAACGTCGTGAGAATATTATTGTGTTATTTTATTTTATCAATTTATTATTTTATTCTCATTCTACGTGACTTTACCGAAAGAACCAAAGAAGATGAATCATTGCAGTCACTAAAGCTTTAAATCGAAAAATAAACGTGTCGTTTAGTAAACCCCGAGGCAATGTTGTGAGGCTTTTGTTTTAATGTCCCCTTAGCGGTGCCCGTGAGGAAGCGATGTTGGAATCCGCCCGCATTCACCGCAATGCGATATACAGTACAGTCTTTATAAATCATCCCATTTGCTAAAACGCAAAACTGCCCGCATTATAAGAAGGGCCGTTTCCCGAAACGTCGACTATTACATTGAGTTTCTAACCATTTGAATTGACATGCGTCTGGAGGTTAAACCTCTGATATGGCAACATAGCTAGAGAATTATTTAAAATTTTTTAAGGCAGAATCATTATACGTTCTCCATATACTAACAATAACATTACTTTTAAACGTCGGCTTATTCCCTTTACCAGACTAATTTTAGTCAACAATATTTATCGAGTATAATGTTACTTTATATATATAGCCGAAACGTCACGTCCTGCTTCCTGTGCAGCGGGGAATTCTGGGTGGTGTGGGTTGGCGACTTTCCCGCCAAAAATCTCTCCCCGTCGTCCCGGCCGCATCCTCCCTGCGGGACTTTTGTGTTGTTGAGTTTGTGAGGAGAAGTCGAGAACATTTTATAAAGTTGTTGATTCCTTGGCGAGTGACTAGCCATGGACGCGACCAGCGGGATGCGAGCGCGCGTGAACGCCGGCACGCTGTCCCAGCACGTGGGCAAGGTGGTGTACTTCCTCGGGAAAGTGGAGCAGGTGAGTGGACACGGGGCCTCGCTCGCTCGCTCGCTCACCCTCCCGCTCACCCAACTCACCAACTCACCCACTCACCCACTCTCACCCAACTCACCCACTCACCCAACTCACCCACTCTCACCCAACTCACCCACTCACCCACTCACCCAACTCACCCACTCACCCAACTCACCCACTCACCCAACTCATCCACTACTCACCCGACCCACCCACTCGCCACTCCACATTCACACGCCACATTCAAACTCCACACCTCACACTTACACCTCACACTCCACACTCGCATTCGTACTCACACCTCGCTCGCTCTGCACACTCACACTCCACGCTCACACCCCGCATTCACCCTGGCACACGAACACTGCACGCACACACACACACCTCCTCACACACACTCCACACTCGCATTTGCCATTTGTATCGCGAGATAAAATGTCACGTTAAGAAGACAAGATGGGTGAACGTGAAGCGACAGTGGTGACTGCCTGTCCTGTGACTGACCCTCCCTTCGCCTCTCTTTCCCCAAGGTTCACCAGTCCGGTTCGAGCTTCACCATCAGCGACGGAGATGGGCAGAGCATCACCGTGGAGATGCAGGCACCGGTGCGGAGAGGGGCGCCACGGGTTATAGGAGATGTTAACTACCTCGCCCGGTATACAGGAGGTCGTGGGCTCGATCCTGATCCTGATGCCTGCTGGATATTTGGGGTTTGCAGTGTCTCATCATCATCATCCCGGTGGCTAGGAGATGTTAACAACCTCGCCTGGTATAGAGGAGGTCGTGGGCTCGGTCCTAATGCCTGCTGGATATTTGTGGTTTGCAGGGTATCATCATCATCACGGTGGCTAGGAGATGTTAACTACCTCGCCTGGTATGCAGGAGGTCGTGGGCTTGATCCCGATCCCGATGCCTGCTGGATATTTGGGGTTTGCGATGTATCGCTCATCATCATCACGGTGGCTAGGAGATAACAATTACCTCGCCTGGTATACAGGAGGTCGTGGGCTCGATCCTGATGCCTGCTGGATATTTGGGGTTTGCGATGTATCTCTCATCACCGTGGCTAGGAGATGTTAACTACCTCGCCTGGTATGCAGGAGGTCGTGGGCTCGATCCCGATCCTGATGCCTGCTGGATATTTGGAGTTTGCAGTGTTTCATCATCATCATCACGGTGGATAGGAGATCTTAACTACCTCGCCTGGTCTACAGGAGGTCGTGGGCTCGATCCCGATCCTGATGCCTGCTGGATATTTGGAGTTTGAGGTGTCTCTCATCATCATCACGGTGGCTAGGAGATGTTAACTAGCTCGCCTGGTATGCAGGAGGTCGTGGGCTCGATCCCGATCCTGATGCCTGCTGGATATTTGTGGTTTGCGATGTATCTCTCATCATCATCACGGTGGCTAGGAGATGTTAACTACCTCGCCTGGTATACAGGAGGTCGTGGGCTCGATCCCGATCCTGATGCCTGCTGGATATTTGGAGTTTGAGGTGTCTCTCATCATCATCACGGTGGCTAGGAGATGTTAACTAGCTCGCCTGGTATACAGGAGGTCGTGGGTTCGATCCCGACCATGACGCCTGCTGTATATTTGGAGTTTGCATGTCTCTCTCTGTCCGTGGTCGCGTGGATTTTTTCTCCGGGTCCTCCGGTTTTTCCCGACCACATTGAGAAACGTGCGTTTCAGAGTATTTGGCTGCTGTACATTTCCACGCGATAAGCCACTTAAGTTGAGCTAACGTTTGTGGCCAGGTCGCTTCTGAAAAGTAACTGTATAACTCAGTGGGCCTTACCTGGTAAAATATAAATAGTAGTACTTTGTTACGGTGGGGTAGGGGGGATTTAGTGAGAGGATGACAGGTGGACATCGTGAAAAAGAGCTTTATAGCTCATCGGATTCCTCCAGTATAAATGCATATTCTGATTCTGTCCATCAACCGATAGCACCTGGGTCTGTCCCGTGACCTGCCAGCGGTCGTTCAACACTTCGGGTGTCCTTGAAGTGCACCTAGCCTGGCACAAGCGGCGTGGTAATGTCACCACCACTTTGTACGTAGCCAACCACACTAATCGGAGGAGCAGGGGAAAGACAACAAACGAAACGTAAAAAGCAGTTCTAAAGGGATGAGTTTTAAATTTAGATGATTTAAAATTGCAGCGGCTTCCTAATATCGGATGGAAGAGCCGGAAAAACGCATCTGAACGCGCGCGTGCGATGGTGTGCGGGGGGGGGGGCAATTGGCCCTGTGAACCGGTAGCGCCATTCGCCGCTTGTTGCAGGTGCTCGCGGTCCGAACGCGGCAGGCCGTCCCGGTTAATGCTGCGGGCGTGTACGCACCACGGACGTTAAAGATCGCGTGACACCTCATTCGAAATGACCAGGCCGCCAATTGTGTTGCGGCGGTGGCGGCGTGGTCCGTGAGAAGGATTACCCTCCGAATGTTTTAATTGGGATTTCACACGGCAAACATTGCTCATTGCGTGCGTGCGTGCATGCGCGTGTTCGTCCCGCAGCTGGACGAGTTGCTGAGTGGGGTGGTGGACGTGGCGGCTCGGGTCACCCACAAGGGCTCGCTGCAGTGCCTGAGCTACGAGCGCATCCGGGAGGACAAGGTGCCCTTCGGTGAGACCCCCACCGCACCGCCACCACTCCGCATACGCACAGCTCCACCAACCGCACCCCCACTCCATCCCCCACCCACCGCCACCGCACCCCCCACTGCATCACCCACCGCACCCCCACTGCATCACCCACTGCGCTGCTACCACGTTGCCACCACACCTCCACTGCTCTGCCACTGCACCTCCACTGCACCTTCACCACACCCCCCACCGCACACCGTGCAGTTGCCAGTACGTTCTCGCAGTGCGGAGACTTGGGAGGCAGGGTTGGTGGTGAGATGCCACGGTGCAGTCCTGCACAGCATCTTGGAGAGATCCGTGTGTGGGTTAGACCCGAGAGACGGAAAGAGAAACGCATGCATTCGAGAGAATACAACGGTGATTGACACCATTCTAACTACTCAGAAGAGTTAGCGAGCGGGCATGGGCAGAACACGTCACGGCCAGAAGGTATGAAGGCCGATGGTCAAATGTAATAACGGGCGTGACAGCCAAGGAATGGAATGCGTCCGGACGTCAACCGAGGAGATGGAGCGATGAATCGACGTAGGTGCATCATCACTGCATCGCGCGGTTTCAGATGCGCTTCTGTGGCCGTCTGGAACGCTCTTCCGATATTAGGAAGCCACTGGACCTGTGCACTTTTAAGTCATCTAGATTGAAAACTCATTTCTTTAGAAATACTTTTTTTTTTAGTTTGTCCTTCCCCCACACTTTGAATTAGCATGGTTGGCTACGTACGGTGCGAAAAAAGTTCAACATACATACGTGTGGGATTGTTACATCGCAGAATAGTGGGAGGTGGCTTGGAGTGGCCTTCATCCAGCAGTGGATCGACCTACAACGTGTAGGTTTTTCAAAGACTGTTTGGTTTATTTATCACTTCATTTTGCCTATTTAAAAAAAAAGTCATAGTCTGAGGTATGTAGGGACTGAACATGTATTGTTTGAAGGCCCTGATGTTTCATCCATTTTATGCGCAAACCTAAATGATCTAAAAACGTTGGATTTATTTTAACAACCATCTCGAGTCTAGACACCAGAAAAATAGTCGACCATCCCACAATTTACCTAAACACTCGTTTTGAAGTCCACGCCACACGTTGGCGAGACACTAAAACACGACAATTTGAGAGCAGCTCCACGCGCTCGTGCTTAATCACAACTAGGATGATCACAAAGACGTTTAATTCGCGTGAGCATTGCGGAAAGAGAAAAGCCTGCTGCCCGTTTACCCGTGCCGGGGGGGGGGGCGGGAGGGGGTGCTGGCTCACCACGGGGGCGCCCCCCTCCCGTCGCGGCTCGGCTGTGCAATGGAAACGAGCCGCCATCATTGGGTCGTACCTCCGCTGACCGCTGACCCCCGCCCCCACACCGGATGCCTTGCGCCGTGACGACCGTGGATTCCTCTTCCCCCCCCTTTCGCGTTTCTCCCCCATCTCTCGTCGCAGACCTCCACCTGTACAACGAGGCCATCAAGATCAGCCAGGACTTCTCCCAGTTCTACCTGCCGGAGCAACTTAACATGTGATGACCTCCGTCGTTCGAGCCCCCGTCGACCGGTCAACCCCAAACCAGCACACGGTGGAGTGGCGGGGGTTGGGGGCGGGGGTGGTGGGTCTTAACTCGCCGTGGACGGAACGGGTTCACCCATCTCGGCAGTTCCGCGAATTGTCGCGATCCCATTCCAGAGTCGCGATGAGCACGGTTGGCTACGTACGGTGGCGAAAGGAGGTTCACCGTGCGTTCGTGCGTGGTTCGATTCCAGGGTTGACGCTTCGATGTTGCCGTGGTGGAATGGCGCCTCTAGTGGCTGCAAGGGTCTTCTTCTCATCGTACGGCTGTTGTGGATGCAGCAGGACGACGACGCCTGCGACAATCTCACATTCAGGTGGTCAAGCCAGGTTGGCCACAATGGCGATGCGAACCCAAGAACATGCAACACATACGGGTCGAAAAGCATCGGTTTTCACACGTACACGCTTCTTCCCGCGTATCGGTGAGCTTACGGACATATCGACGTTAATTGTTACTTCGTACCACCACCCAATTAAGTACCCGCAGCGGTGGGATTTACGTGTTGAGACTTGTACCCCTTCCTCCACTGGCCCAGTGCCAGCATGGCACGGGTAGTTTTCCCTTTTGCCGAGCCGGAACCGAAGCCGCGCTTAACGCTGGCTTCACAGGACACATCCACGCTAGGAGCGCGGGGCCTAGTGACGTGCGCACGATGCGTGTTTTCACGTCACTGCGTCGTTTGCAACCCGTGCGGCTTGCGGTCATGAGTCACGTGACGTCAGCGGCACGGCTCTACTTGTGCAGTGGAAAATAAACCCGGATTTCCTGACCTGTGCAGTGCTAACCCGGCATGGCCCCAGCACAGCTCAGATGTGCAAATGGAAAAGAGGTATTGGCTTGGTTCAAAATTTAAACTAAAACTATTTTTATGTTACCAGGTAAGGGCCACTGAGCTATATATCTCTTTTTCTAAAGCGACCTGGCTATCTGAAATAATAGCTCAACGGAGTGGCGTATCATCCACGCGACCACGGAGAGAGAGATGTGCAAACTCCACATATACAGCAAGCGTCAGGGTCAGGATCGAACCTACGACCGCCTGCATACCAGGCGATGGAGTTAACATCTAGCCGGGCGGCATCCAATAAGAGTCATCACGGAGAGGTGACTCGCCTGTCTCGTATTCTAGATTGGTGGTTCAAATCCTGATCTGCTCTGTGATATATTTGCACATCACAAACAGCGTAATCCATTGCTGCTTATTGTGCTCACTTAAATTATACTTATGTGACGCTGACCTTCTTTAACACCGTACGTAGCCAACCGTGCTAATTTAATTTGTCTTTCTAAATGTGGCCGCGCTCACGACTGCACCACCCCTGCATTTGTAATTTTGTAGCATAGTAAATTACCACCAACGGAAGTTGGGTGCAAATGCACACAGAAGCAGAACAGGTCCACACCCTGTTGGCTTTCCACAACACCTTTACCCAGCAGCATTTGCCTAAGCAAGCAAACTCTGGACCGGTTTCAACTTCTTGGGTCTCGTCAGCAGAGCGAGGCTTGTGAACACAAATGCTGCCGGGTTGCCCGTCGTCATTGGCACGAGCAGCCAAGCCACAGCGTGCATCGTTTGTACATAACGGATGGGGAATGCGTTTGTGAATTAAAGTCAATTTGTGGAAGGACGTGTTTTAACATTAAGGCCATCACTGCGGCCCAAATATGTTGGGGTTTGTCTTGGCCATGGGTCAGCAACCCACAGCTCATTGAGGGAACGGCTTCGTTGGCGTTATCCAAATGCATTTTGAAATTTAAAAAATTTGTTTCCGAAATGTCTTGGCCAGGAGTCGGCAAACCTGCAGGCTGTTGTACCGGAGCCGCATGCGGATCTTAGAGGACCGCTATGTGACGTTATTCACGTGCATTTCGCCTCTTCAATTATTTATTTTTGTTGTTAACGAATTAGAAAAAAAGCGGCCGCTCTTATTTTTTTTGTTGCCGACCCCACCCACCACCCCTGGGCTTGGGTGCATGAATTGAAAAAGTAAGCGCTCTTGACATTGAATTTGAAACGAAAGCGTTGTCACCACGTAACTTTTCTCCGCGGTTGTTCGGGCTCAATTTTGTTTTCGCGTTGCCGCTCGGCCGATGGCGTCGAGGTTCGGTGTAAACCCACAGCTTGTGTTGCGGAGGTTATAAGCTAAACTATTTTAAAACTACATTTTATTTCACCAGGTAAAGCCCACTGAGCTTTTAGCGGTTATTCAGAAGCGACCTGGCCACAAATGACAGCTCGACAAAGTGGCTTATCACGTGGACACTTACAGCAGCCACTTAATCTAAACGCACGTTTCTAAATGTGGAGGGAAAACACGGAGGACCCGGAGAAAATTTAATGCAACCACAGGGATAACATGCCAACTTCAAATATACAGTGGGCGTCAGGGTCAGGATCGAACCCACGACCTCCCGCATACCAGGCGAGGGAGATAACATCCCGCCACCTCGGCATTTCCCCACTGAGCCATCGCAGTCAAATAGCCGCGTGAAGTGTACGCTTTGTGTTGATTCCATTGTTGTTTTCCTTGCTTCTTGAAGTATAAAGTGTCCGTGTTGTCGTTTCCTTGAACCCTGCAAGTGAATTAAAACGGAATTTGCCTTCGAGTGAGCCGTCGTGGTCGTCTGATGCTTGTTGCGCAACGTGGTGGAGGATCGTGGGCCCCCGGTGGGTGTGACCTGGACAAGCGGCCAGCACGGCTTTTTTCTGCCGCGTTGCCGAGGATGGGCGAGCGGGCGAGCGAGTTGGAGAGCGAGTCAGAGCGGGCGAGTTGCAGAGCGAGTCGCAGAGTGGGCGAGTTGCAGAGCGAGTCGCAGAGTGGGCGAGTTGCAGAGCGAGTCGCAGCGGAGCGAGTCAGAGCGGGCGAGTTGAGCAGAGCCGAGCGAGTTGTAGAGCCGAGCGAGTCGCAGAACGGGCGAGCAAGTAAGGTGCAGAGCGATCCTCGCGGCCAAATTAGACGCGACGACGTTCCCGCTTGAAGCGACGTCGCGCATCATCGGGGCAAGGTGCAGAAATTCTGTTACGATACTACCGCAGAAATAATCGCAACTCGCGATGCGCGCAGACTCAACTGTTGAGAGAGATTGTTCCTCCCCACAGAGAACTCTGTCCGCTGTGGCCTGTCCCGTTTGTGTTGCGCCTTGGTGTCTAAATCTTTTGTAATAATTTTTGTGTATTACTTTAGTATAGTATACTTTAGTATCAATACATGTCAATTGTTATTCGTGGTTTTTTTTACTTTATGTGAACGAAAAGACACAATCGTCCGTTTTCTCATTTAAAATTGGTCAATTTCAAAATATCACACGGGATTAACAAGACTTTACCGAAAGAACCAAAGAATATGGATTCCTGCAATCACGAAAACTTCAAATCAAGATCACTGTCCTGGTCACAAAAACAAAGTTTGTGGAGAATAATAGCCATTGTACTTTTGAGGCATAAGCAATTAGGAAATAACACTTACTACCCAGGAACAAAATGTGTTCCACAGTGCAATCACACAGACACGGGGTTAACAGTCACGGTTAACACAGCGTTAAAAATCACACACATACAGGGTGAACAGTCACACACACAGGGTTCACACACAGGGTTAACAGTCACACAGGGTTCACAGTCACACACATGGTTAACAGTCACACACACAGGGTTCACACACAGAGTTAACAGTCACACACGGTTAACACACAGGGTTCACACACACAGGGTTAACACACATACAGGTTCACACACACAGGGTTAACAGGCACACACAGGGTTCACACACACAGGGTTAACAGTCACACACAGAGTTAACAGTCGCACACACAGGGTTAACAGTCACACAGGGTTAACACACACACAGGGTTCACACACACAGGGTTAACACACACACAGGGTTAACAGTCACACAGGGTTAACAGTCACACACACACAGGGTTAACACACACAGGGTTCACACACACAGGGTTCACACACACAGGGTTCACACACAGGGTTAACAAACAGGGTTCACACACAGGGTTTACACACACACACAGGGTTTACACACACACACAGGGTTAACACACACACAGGGTTAACACACACACAGGGTTAACACACACACATGGTTCACACACACACAGGGTTAACACACACGGTTCACACACACAGGGTTAACAGTCACAGGGTTAACACACACAGGGTTAACAGTCACACACACAGGGTTAACACACACACAGGGTTAACACACACACAGGGTTCACACACACAGGGTTAACACACACACAGGGTTAACACACATACACAGGGATAACACACACACAGGGTTAACACACACACACAGGGTTAACACACACAGGGTTAACACACACATACAGGGTTAACACACACACACAGGGTTAATACACGCACAGGGTTAACACACGCACAGGGTTAACACACACACAGGGTTAACACACACACAGGGTTAACACACACACAGGGTTAACACACACAGGGTTAACACACACAGGGTTAACACACACACACAGGGTTCACACACACACACACAGGGTTCACACACAGGGTTAACACACACAGGGTTAACACACAAACACAGGGTTAACACACACAGGGTTAACATACACAGGGTTAACACACACAGGGTTAAGACACACAAACAGGGTTAACACACAGGGTTAACACACACACAGGGTTAACACACACACACACAGGGTTCACACACACAGGGTTAACACACACAGGGTTAACACACAGGGTTAACACACACACAAGGTTAACACACACACAGGGTTCACACACACACAGGGTTCACACACACACAGGGTTAACACACACAGGGTTAACACAGGGTTAACACACACAGTGTTAACACACACAGGGTTAACACACACAGGGTTAACACACACACAGGGTCCACACACACACAGGGTTAACACACACACAGGGTTAACACACACACAGGGTTAACACACACACAGGTTTAACACACACAGGGTTAACACACACACAGGGTTAACACACACACATGGTTAACACACACACAGGGTTAACACACACAGGGTTAACACACACAGTGTTAACACACACACAGGGTTAACACACACATACAGGGTTAACACACACACAGGGTTAACATACACACACACAGGGTTAACACACACACACAGGGTTAACACACACACAGGGTTAACACACACACACCGGGTTAACACACACACAGGGTTAACACACACACAGGGTTAACAGTCACACACAGGGTTAACACACACACACAGGGTTAACACACACAAACAGGGTTAACGCACACACACACAGGGTTAACGCACACACACATACAGGGTTAACACACACACATACAGGGTTAACACACACACAGTTAACACACACAGGGTTAAGACGCACACAGGGTTCACACACACACAGGGTTCACACACACACACAGGGTTCACACACACACAGGGTTAACACACACACACACAGGGCTAACACACACAGAGTTAACACACACACAGGGTTAACACACACACACACAGGGTTCACACACACAGGGTTAACACACACACACACATACAGGGTTCACACACACACAGGGTTCACACACACACAGGGTTAACACACACACAGGGTTAACACACACAGGGTTAACACACACAGGGTTAACAATCACACACACAGTTAACACACACAGGGTTAACACACACACAGGGTTAACACACACACAGGGTTAACACACACACAGTTAACACACACAAACAGGGTTAACACAAACAGTTAACACACACAGGGTTAACGCACACACACAGTTAACACACACACAGGGTTAACACACACACAGGGTTCACACACACACAGGGTTAACACACACACACAGGGTTCACACACACACCGGGTTAACACACACACAGGGTTAACACACACACACAGGGTTAACACACACACAGGGTTAACACACACACACAGGGTTCACACACACACAGGGTTAACAATCACACACAGTTAACACACACACAGGGTTAACACACACAGGGTTAACACACACAGTTAACACACACACAGGGTTAACACACACACACAGTTAACACACACAGGGTTAACACACACACAGGGTTCACACACACACAGGGTTAACACACACAGGGTTCTCACACACAGGGTTAACACACACACAGGGTTAACACACACACAGGGTTAACACACACACACAGGGTTCACACACACACATGGTTAACACACACACAGGGTTAACACACACACACAGGGTTAACACACACAGGGTTAACACACACACAGGGTTAACACACACAGTTAACACACACAGGGTTAACACACACACAGTTAACACACACACAGGGTTAACACACACACACAGGGTTCACACACACAGGGTTAACACACACAAACACACAGGGTTCACACACACACAGGGTTAACACACACACAGGGTTAACACACACAGGGTTAACACACACACACACAGGGTTAACTCACACACACAGGGTTAACACACACACACAGGGTTCACATACACACAGGGTTAACACACACACAGGGTTAACACACACACAGGGTTAACACACACACACAGGGTTAACACACACACAGGGTTAACACACACACAGGGTTAACACACACACAAGGTTAACACACACACAGGGTTAACACACACAGGGTTAACACACACACAGGGTTAACACACACACAGGGTTAACACACACACAGTTAACACACACACGCAGGGTTAACACACACACACAGGGTTCACACACACAGGGTTAACACACACACACACGGTTAACACACACACAGGGTTAACACACACACAGGGTTAACACACACACAGGGTTAACACACACACACAGGGTTCACACACACACAGGGTTAACACACACACAGGGTTAACACACACACAGGGTTAACAGTCACACACAGGGTTAACACACACACACAGGGTTAACACACACAAACAGGGTTAACGCACACACACACAGGGTTAACACACACACATACAGGGTTAACACACACACACAGTTAACACACACACACAGGGTTAAGACACACACAGGGTTCACACACACACACAGGGTTCACACACACACAGGGTTCACACACACACAGGATTAACACACACACACACAGGGCTAACACACACAGAGTTAACACACACACAGGGTTAACACACACACACAGGGTTCACACACACAGGGTTAACACACAAACATACAGGGTTCACACACACAGGGTTCACACACACACAGGGTTAACACACACACAGGGTTAACACACACACAGGGTTAACACACATAGGGTTAACAATCACACACACAGTTAACACACACACAGGGTTAACACACACACAGGGTTAACACACACAGGGTTAACACACACACAGTTAACACACACAAACAGGGTTAACACACAAACAGTTAACACACACACAGGGTTAACGCACACACACAGTTAACACACACACAGGGTTAACACACACACACAGGGTTCACACACACACAGGGTTAACACACACACACAGGGTTCACACACACACCGGGTTAACACACACACACAGGGTTAACACACACACACAGGGTTAACACACACACAGGGTTAACACACACACACAGGGTTCACACACACACACAGTTAACACACACACAGGGTTAACACACACAGTTAACACACACACAGGGTTAACACACACACACAGTTAACACACACACAGGGTTAACACACACACACACACAGGGTTCACACACACACAGGGTTAACACACACACAGGGTTCACACACACACAGGGTTAACACACACACAGGGTTAACACACACACAGGGTTAACACACACACACACAGGGTTCACACACACACATGGTTAACACACACACAGGGTTAACACACACACAGGGTTAACACACACACAGGGTTACACACACACAGGGTTACACACACACAGGGTTAACACACCCAGTTAACACACACCAGGGTAAACACACACACAGTTTAACACACACACACAGGGTTAACACACACACACAGGGTTCACACACACAGGGGTTAACACACACAAACACACAGGGTTCACACACACACAGGGTTAACACACACACACAGGATTAACACACACAGGGTTAACACACACACACAGGGTTAACTCACACACACAGGGTTAACACACACACACAGGGTTCACATACACACAGGGTTAACACACACACACAGGGTTAACACACACAGGGTTAACACACACACACAGGGTTAACACACACACAGGGTTAACACACACACAGGGTTAACACACGCACAGGGTTAACACACACACACAGGGTTAACACACACAGGGTTAACACACACACAGGGTTAACACACACACAGGGTTAACACACACAGTTAACACACACACAGGGTTAACACACACAGAGTTAACACACACACACGCAGGGTTAAGACACACACAGGGTTCACACACACAGGGTTAACACACACACAGGGTTAACACACACACACGGTTAAAACACACACAGGGTTAACACACACACACAGGGTTAACACACACAGTTAACACACACACAGGGTTAACACACACAGAGTTAACACACACACACGCAGGGTTAACACACACACACGCAGGGTTAACACACACACAGGGTTAACACACACACACAGGGTTCACACACACACACGGTTAACACACACACAGGGTTAACACACACAGGGTTAACACACACACAGGGTTAACACACACACAGGGTTAACACACACACACAGGGTTAACACACACAGGGTTAACACCCACACAGTTAACACACACAGAGTTAACACACACACAGGGTTAACACACACACACACAGAGTAAACACACACACACGGTTCACACACACAGGGTTAACACACACAGGGTTAACACACACACAGGGTTAACACACACACAGGGTTAACACACACACAGGGTTAACACACACACACAGGGTTAACACACACACACAGGGTTAACACACACACACAGGGTTAACACACACACAGGGTTAACACACGCACAGGGTTAACACACACACAGGGTTAACACACACAGGGTTAACACACACACAGGGTTAACACACACACACAGGGTCCACACACACAGGGTTAACACACACACAGGGTTAACACACACACACACAGGGTTAACACACACACAGGGTTCGCAATCGCGCTCATTGCTTCTAGCCACGCACACGGCACGCACGCGTTTGGTCTGCCGGAGCTGCCTTGTGGAAGAAAGACGAGGTAGAGGGGAGGGTTCTGCTGCAATGCCTGGCTGATGAGGCTCTCGCTGACGAGGTGCGGCTGACTCCCCGTGTCGATTGAAGAGGGTGCTGACTGCGGCTGGCTGGCTGGCTGGCTGAAGAGGTACTGGCTGAATGAGGAGGTGCTGTCTGGATGAGGAGGTGCTGTCTGGATGATGAGTTGCTGTCTGGATGAGCTGAAGAGGTGCCATCTGACCGTCTCGTTGACTGAAGAGGTGCCAGCTTGACCGTGGAGGAGGAGGTGGAGGTGGATAGGCCGGGCTGAAGAGGTGTGGCCGCCTGACCGTCGTGCATTTTTGTATGGAGGTTCGAGAATCCATTTGCTGCGCCCCGCTGTTACTTTTCACACGTGGATGGAGCGACGTCAGGGCTGGGTTTACGCCGTCCCGCTCTGTGGTGCACGCGTACGTTGGACTTCTTTCGCGCCGTACGCAGCCAAACGCGCTAATCGGAGATGCGGCGGACTGACTGGCTGACTGTCTGACTGTGTGACTGGCTGTCTGGCTGGCTGTCTGACTGACTAACTGTCTGACTGTCTGTCTGACTGTCTGTCTGACTAACTGTCTGACTGTGTGACTGGCTGTCTGACTGTCTGACTGGCTGTCTGACTGGCTGTCTGACTGGCTGTCTGACTGTCTGTCTGACTGTGTGACTGACTGTCTGACTGGCTGTCTGACTGGCTGTCTGACTGTCTGTCTGTCTGTGTGACTGACTGTCTGACTGGCTGTCTGACTGGCTGTCTGACTGACTGTCTGTCTGACTGTCTGACTGGCTGTCTGACTGTCTGACTGTCTGACTGGCTGACTGACTGGCTGTCTGACTGTCTTACTGACTGTCTGACTGGCTGTCTGACTGTCTGACTGTCTGGCTGACTGTCTGACTGTCCGACTGGCTGTCTGACTGACTGTCTGACTGGCTGTCTGACTGACTGGCTGTCTAGCTGTCTGACTGACTGTCTGAGTAGCTGTCTGACTGACTGTCTGACTCTCTGAGTGGCTGTCTGACTGACTGACTAACTGGCTGTCTGACTGTCTGAGTGACTGTCTGACTGACTGTCTGACTGGCTGTCTAACTGGCTGTCTGACTGCCTGTCTGACTGACTGGCTGTCTAACTGACTTTCTGTCTGACTGTCTGGCTGTCTGACTGGCTGTCTGACTGACTGATTGGCTGTCTGACTGACTAACTGTCTGGCTGTCTAACTGTCTGGCATCAGTCTGACGTCAGTCTGACTGGCTGTCTAACTGACTGTCTGACTGACTGTCTGAGTGGCTGTCTGACTGACTGGCTGTCTGACTGTATGAGTGGCTGTCTGACTGGCTGTCTGACTGACTGATTGGCTGTCTGACTGACTAACTGTCTGGCTGTCTAACTGTCTGGCATCAGTCTGACGTCAGTCTGACTGGCTGTCTAACTGACTGTCTGACTGACTGTCTGAGTGGCTGTCTGGCTGACCGTCTGACTGACTGTCTGAGTGGCTCTCTGACTGACTGACTGGCTGTCTGACTGTCTGAGTGGCTGTCTGACTGACTGGACGTCTGGCTGACTGTCTGACTGGTTGCCTGGCTGTCTAACTGGCTATCTGCCTGGCTATCTGCCTGGCTGTCTGACTGTCTGAACCGGTCCTGGGCTGTCTGACTGTCGGGCGAGCTAACCTCAAAGAGGTTCTGGCCGGCTGAAGAAAGGGGGTTGGTCTGGCGTTGTCTCAAGAAGCCTGCAGAGGAAGAACGAGGTGGTTGGTGATTGGTGGTAGTTGTTGGTGGTTGTTGCTAGTTGTTGGTTGTCGGTGGTGGTTGTTGGTTGTTGTTGGTTGTTGCTGCTGTTGCTGGTGGTTGCGTCTCGCCGGCTGGACCTGTGGCTGTTGAGGCCGCCCCACAGCATGTGCAGCACGCGCCACGTGCTGGCCTGCATGCTGGCCTGCGCCCTGCTCGAGGTGGGGTGTGGCCTCGCCAGCCTCGCCCTGGGGGCCGCCTCCGTGACCTGGGCGCTGCGGGGGGCCCAGCCGGTCCGCCTGGGGCACGGGGCCCCCCTGTGGAGCGGAGCTTGCGTGAGTTCGGGGGGGGGGGGGGGGGGCGCGGGCTGATGTGTTTGAGAGGAGCGGTGGTGCAGTGGTTTAGGTGTGTGCGTTTGTTTGTGTGTGTCGGTGTGTATGTGTCTGTGTGTGTCTTTGTGTCGGCGATTGTGTGTCGGTGTGGGTGTCTCTGTGTGTCTGTATGTGTGTCTATATCTGTGTGTCTGTGTGTGTCTATATGTGTGTGTCTGTGTGTCTATGTGTCTGTCAAAACAACCCCCTACCTCATCGCGGTGCCAGACGGGAAACTCTGTCGTGGACAGTGCTGTGGGGGGAGGAACAATTCCGATTGGCCCCTCCTTTAATGGCGTCTGTGACCACCACAGTGGCTAAATGGGGGCTCTGGACGGGTGATAGGTGCTGGTAACCCCTCCACCTTCAACATTTTTACCACGAAACCACGAATAAAATGTTTTACTAATAAGCTTGTGCTGGAGGCCCCGGGGGGATAGGCGTCTATGACGTCTCCTGGCCAAACCCCAATTGGTGGAGCCAAGAGATTGAATCTCTACCCTCGGGGCTCCTCCAGAAACAACGAAAAGCCACTTCGTGTGGCCACGTAGAATGTTCGAACGCTCACTGCAGAGGAGAGGCTGCCACTCCTCTGTCGGGAGCTGGACCAGTACCGCCTGGATCTCTGTGGCATTCAGGAGCTCCGGTGGACCGGTTCTGGCTCCTACCACCATGAGGGGTGGACAGTCCTCTACTTGGGGCAGCAGACTGCCAAACAACAGGGTGTGGCTCTTCTTTTGAACAAAAGAATGAAGGGGGCGTGCGAGCGTGGCGGTGAGGTGTGGGAAGCTGTAAGCCCCAGGCTACTTTGGGCTCACCTTCCCATCAACCGGAGGCGAGGAGTGGTGGTCGTGGTTACTTATGACCCCACCGAAGACGAACATCCGTGGAGGGATGCAGGCAAAGCCGATGAGTCAGATGCCTCCTGTCACAGATGCTGGCTAAAGTGGCCCCTCGGGATAGAGTCATCTTGTTGGGTGACTTCAATGCCTGAGTTGGCCATGATGCTGGCACCTGGTCTAGAGTGATTGGAGGTCATGGGCCAGATCAGCTCAATAACAACGGTAGGAGGCTGCTAGATTTCTGTGCAGCCCATGGGCTTGTAATTACCAACAGGTTGTTCCGCATTCACACAACATCATGGATGCATGCCGGGTCCAAGCAAGAACATCTGCTGGAATACATAGTGACGGACCAGTAGATGCGAGCCCATGTCCTTGACATCAGGACCTACCGTGGAGCTGATCTGCCCTCTGACCATCGACTAGTCATCTGTTTGATGCGCCTGCCATTCTTCCACTCCGGTGGTGGGTGTACACCCAGGACCCCATTCCAACCTAAAGTGGCCTGGTCTCAATTATCATCGCTTGCGGCTGGGGTTGGCATCGTCCCCCACTCCTCCTGATGTCGAGGGTAAATGGGCGAGGTTTAGGACTGTGACTCATGCAGCTGCAATGGCCGCTTTGGGTACGTGGTCCAGATCTCCCCAGAGACTCTGGCTGATAGAGGAGGTGTTCAGGGTAGTTGAGAAAAAGCGACAGGCCCACTGTCATCGGCTACAGAATCCCACATTAGAGAATGAGGAGGCTTACCGCAGCCTTCGCTCGGAGGTTCGGAGAGCCGTGAGGCGCTGCAAGGATGGGTGGTGGTCGCAGGTTTGCCCGCGATCACAAATCTCTATTTAACTCCATCAAAAAAGTAACCTGCAGCGCCACACCTATTACAATCATTAGGGGAAAAAACGGTGATCCAATTTCTGACCCCCCGGAACAGGTTTGCAGATTTGCTGAACATTTCTGAGGTCCTGGGGGAGGGGAAATCCCTCAGCCAGGAAAACATCCTGGTACAAAGTGGGAATGACCCTGCTGAGGCTACGGTGCCTCAAATATTGAAGGAAGTCACCCCCTATGAGAGGCTGGCTGAGGTGCCATCTGTTGAGGAAGTACTGAAGGCGATCCGGAGTCTGAGACCAGGAAAGGCACCGGGCAGAGATGATCTCCCAAGCGAAATGCTGAGGGAGGGTGGCGTTTGTGCACAGACTGCCCTATATGACATCATAACAACAGTCTGGACCACTGGACGGGTTCCGCAGGATTGGAAGGATGCCCTGGTGGTCCCCCTCTTTAAGAAGGGAGACCGCACAGACTGTAACAACTACAGGGTCATCTCACTCCTCAGTGTGCCGGGAAAGGTCCTGGCAAGGATTATTCAACATCGCCTTGCCAGGCATGCTGAGGAGAGGCTTGCGGAGCCCCAATGCGGTTTCAGGAAAAGGCGGTTCTGCACAGATGCCATATTTTCTGTCCGTCTATTACTGCAGAGGTGTAGGGAATTCCAACAAGACCTACATCTCTGCTTTATTGACCTGGTCAAGGCCTATGATACCATCAGTAGGTTTGGGCTCTGGGTCGTTCTTCGTGCTTTTGGAGTACCTGACCCTCTGCTCACAATCATTAAGGACCTTCATGATGGTGAGCGGGCCCGGGTAAAACTACGTGGCCGGGAGTCAGAGCCATTCCCTGTACACCTTGGGGTGCGACAGGGATGTCCTCTGGCACCCACATTATTTAACATCTATTTTGACCACGTAGTTCGTGAAGCCTTCAATAGCTGTACCGGGGGAATCTCCATATGGTACAGATATAATGGGAGGCTGATCGATGCCCGGGTGCAGTCAAGGGATGGCTCCCTATTGCTCAACCACGTTATGTATGCTGATGATTTGGTAATAGCTGCTCAGTCAGAGGAGGAGTTGGAGACGCTGCTGCTCAGACTGGAGCGTGCCACTAAGAGGTGGGGCCTTACCATCAGCCCCACCAAATCTAAGCCCCTGCCTGGGTATTTTGTACCATCGGACACTCCACCCCCACAACTCCCGATCGGTGATGGGGCAGTTGTGGAGAGAGTGGAGAGTTTCCCATACCTGGGCAGTGTGCTTATGACTGGCTCCAGTTTAACAGCAGAGGTCTCACTCCGAATCAGTCGAGCGGCAATATCTTTTCATCGGTTGCGTAACGCTGTGTGGAAGCTACCTGGTCTGTCGCTCCGCACTAAGCTTCACGTCTTCTCGGCCACGGTCATTCCCTCCCTTCTCTACGCTTGCGAAACGTGGACCCCCCTAATGGAACATCTTCGCCGGTTAGAAACATTTAGGCTGGCCTGCCTACGATCCATCCTGGGTTTAACCAGACTGGATTGTGTGAGGAGCTCACAAATCCTTGAAAGATCTGGGCAAGGTCCCATTGGTGAGCTCCTCCGGCGGGCAAGGCTGCGATGGCTGGGTCATGTAGCCCGCATGCCCAGCCACCGCATGCCGAAACAGCTTTTGTTCGGCCGGATTGAGGGGGCAAAGCGGGCGCGGCACGGGCTAGAGAAGAGATGGAGTGATGTGGTACAGGAGGACGTGGAGCTGAGTGGACTTGCCGATGACTGGTACCAGCGGTGTCAAGATCGGCCTCTGTGGAGGAGGCTCGTGAAGGATGCTACTGGGCAGTTGGAGGTAGTCGCCCTCCAACAACAACGGAGGGCGGAGGAGCGACGCTCACAACAACGAGCGGAGCGCCGGGTGGCTAAAGCCAGCAGGTTGGCACATTAGGGGGCACAGGTGGTGCATCAGCCAGTCATCTCAGTCAGTCGACCCGTGGCACCTGGGTCTGCCCCGTGACCTCCTGGCAGCGGGCGTTCGACACTTCACGTGGCCTCAGGGTGCACATAGCCTGGCACAAGCGTCGTGGTGACGTCACCGCCACTTAGTGGCGAATGGCGGTTGTTGTTGTGTGTGTGTGTACAGATGGGTGTGTGTACAGGTGTGTGTGTACAGGTGTGTGTACAGGTGTGTGTGTGTGTACAGGTGTTTGTGTGTACAGGTGTTTGTGTGTACAGGTGTGTGTGTGTACAGGTGTGTGTGTGTGGCATGTAGTGTAGCGCAACCCTACGGGCCACTCGAGTTCGATTTCCGCTCTGCGCCAACACCGTTGCCGATTATTCTGAACCGATCCTGAGCCTCCCCTAGGTCGACGCAGCCTCACATGAGTACCTGGTGCGGTGTGTAAAGATCGCCACTGGGGAGACAAAGACGGCCGGGCGTGGTGTTTGCCACCCACCCCCTGGTGTGCCGGCCTTCATAAGTGCTGCTACTCGCGAACAGCACTTGCCCCAACATTCTGCTACAGGCTATCCGGGGGATCTTTGTGTGTGAATTACATAATTCACACACATACCACACACTCACACCTGATCCACAACCACAGGGTGTGTTTGGAACACCTAATTGCCCACAACACACAAAGACAAAGATCCCCCGTATAAACTAAACAGACTGTCGGGGCAAGTGCTGTTAGCGAGCACCTATGAAGGCCGGAACGGTACACGAGGCGGTGGGTGGCCAGCACCACGCCCGACCGCTTGTGTCTCCCCAGTGCCGACGTTTACACACCGGAACCAGGTACTCATTTGAGGCTGAGTCGACCTAGAGGAGGCCCAGGGACCGGTTCAGACAATCGTCACTGGGTGTTGGCCGTGAGCCGGGTAATCGAACCCGGGTCGCCGGGGTTCATAGCGCAGTGAGCTAACCGCTGCACCACCGCTCCCCGTACACACCACACACACTCGCCACACTCACCGCACACTCACTACACTCAACCTTATTGCCACCACAGGCAACAGTCGGAGGGAGGGTGGGCGAGAAAATTGTTGTCTCTTCACATCGCCACATCACTCACTCCCAGTGCGCTTGATCACTGCAATGCGACAACGGGGTTTTTTTTTAAACATTTAACTCTTGTGTGTATGTGTGGTTTTTTTCGCGTGTGTTTTTATACGTGTGTGTGTGTATATATTGTTTTAAGCTCAGGGCTATGACCGATGTACAATCAGCGCTTGTGGGGGGGGGGGGGGGGGTTAACAACATCGAGTGAATTGGGAAGCTTTTTGGACCGCGCGTGTCGATTCGAATCCGTCAAGTGTGACGTGAGTTCCGAGCGAATAATCAACGAGATGATCCAAGACGCGGATCACCAGCCAGCAGACTGCGGTGTCATGACCGCTCACCCACCCACTCGCCCACCTGCTGACTCACCCACCCACTCACCCACTCACTATTTCACCCACTCACTCATCCACCCACCCACTCACTCGCCCACCCACTCAGCCGCTGACTCACCCACCCACTCACTCGCCCACCCACTCAGCCGCTGACTCACCCACCCACTCACTCATCCACCCACTCACTCATCCACCCACTCACTCGCTCGCCCACCCACTCACCCGCTGACTCACCCACCCACTCACCCACCCACTCACTCACCCACCTACCCACCCACCCACTCACTCGTCCACCCACTCACCCACCCACTCACCCACCCACTCGCTCGCCCACCCACTCACCCGCTGACTCACCCACCCACTCACTCACCCACCCACCCACTCACCCACTCGCCCACCCACTCACTCACCCACCCACTCACTCACCCACCCACTCACTCACCCACCCACTCACCCACCCACTCACCCACCCACTCACCCACTCACTCGCCCACCCACTCACCCGATTACTCGCTCACCCACTCACTCGCCCACTCACTCACTCGCCCACCCACTCATCCGCTGACTCACCCACCCACCCAACCACTCACTCACCCACTCAATTAGGAAGCTTTTTGGACCGCGCGTGTCGATTCGAATCCGTCAACTGTGACGCGAGATCTGAGCGAATAATCAACGAGATGATCCAAGACGCGGATCACCAGCCAGCAGACTGCGGTGTCATGACCGCTCACCCACCCACTCGCCCACCTGCTGACTCACCCACCCACTCACCCACCCACCCACTCACGCGTCCACCCACTCACTCATCCACCCACTCACTCGCTCGCCCACCCACTCACCCGCTGACTCACCCACCCACTCACTCGCCCACCCACTCAGCTGCTGACTCACCCACCCACTCACCCACCCACTCACGCATTCATCCACTCACTCATCCACCCACTCACTCATCCACCCACTCACTCATCCACCCACTCACTCACTCGCCCACCCACTCACCCACCCACTCACCCACCCACTCACTCGCCCACCCACTCACTCGCCCACCCACTCACCCGCTGACTCGCTCACCCACTCACTCACCCACCCACTCACTCGTCCACCCACCACTCACCCATCCACTCACCCACTCACCCACCCACCACTCACCCCGCTTCTCTCCCCGCTCGTCCCTCGCGCTGCCCCACTTAGGAGCCGCCTCCCTCCCCCCGCTCAGCCTCTCACAGTATAATAATAATAATAACCTTTGCCTCTCACAGTATAATAATAATAATAACCTTTGCCTCTCACAGTATAATAATAATAACCTTTGCCTCTCACAGTATAATAATAACCTTTGCCTCTCACAGTATAATAATAATAACCTTTGCCTCTCACAGTATAATAATAATAACCTTTGCCTCTCACAGTATAATAATAATAACCTTTGCCTCTCACAGTATAATAATAATAACCTTTGCCTCTCACAGTATAATAATAATAACCTTTGCCTCTCACAGTATAATAATAATAACCTTTGCCTCTCACAGTATAATAATAATAACCTTTGCCTCTCACAGTATAATAATAATAACCTTTGCCTCTCACAGTATAATAATAATAACCTTTGCCTCTCACAGTATAATAATAATAATAACCTTTGCCTCTCACAGTATAATAATAATAACCTTTGCCTCTCACAGTATAATAATAATAACCTTTGCCTCTCACAGTATAATAATAATAATAACCTTTGCCTCTCACAGTATAATAATAATAACCTTTGCCTCTCACAGTATAATAATAATAATAATAACCTTTGCCTCTCACAGTATAATAATAATAATAACCTTTGCCTCTCACAGTACAATAATAATAACCTTTGCCTCTCACAGTATAATAATAATAATAACCTTTGCCTCTCACAGTACAATAATAATAACCTTTGCCTCTCACAGTATAATAATAATAATAACCTTTGCCTCTCACAGTATAATAATAATAACCTTTGCCTCTCACAAGTATAATAATAATAATAATAACCTTTGCCTCTCACAGTATAATAATAATAACCTTTGCCTCTCACAGTATAATAATAACCTTTGCCTCTCACAGTATAATAATAATAATAACTTTTGCCTCTCACAGTATGATAATAATAACTTTTGCGCAAATTTCAAGGCACCGCATTAACCCTCATTAGTATTATTATTTAATCCTTTGGGGGGGGGGGTGGAGTTTGAGGGAGGGGGGCAGTGTTTAGCGATACCTCGATGTCCGTCTCGCTCCCCCCCCCCCCCCCCCCCATTAACGTCGTTTCGCAGATACGTCGTCACTTGCGAATACGTCAGTTTAACACGTACGTCAGTTTAACACGTAGCAGGCTTTCGCGACCAATATTATTCATAATAAAGGTTTTTGGGTTAGATCGCCTTATTTATAAATGTGTCGTAACCCTCCACCACCCGACACGGCCAATCAGCAAAAAAAGTGTCACGTGGACAAAAGACAAATAGTTCACTACTTTAACCCCATACCGGTGTGTTGAAGAGTGAATCCACAACATTTACAGTTTGAGTACGACGTTTCGCTGGTAATTACATCCAGCATCATCGGGCAATTCGCCAGAATGGTAAAACACTCACTTGCTCCCGGTCTTCAATAGAGCAGCAGGGTGACGTCATCATTTAACTCATATCAGGTGCAGTGATTTGAGGCGGGGGGGGGGTATTATAATTATATAATCGATTCGTAATCAGTCAATGGTTATAATTAGTAATGAGTTGTAGATTAGTAATTAGTTGTAATGTGTGTTATTGTGATTATATGCTACGTTAGTAATCAGTTAATTAGTATGTGTTTCCCCTATAAGGAACTGTAATATGTATTTAATAATACGCTTCCACTTATTAATACAGATACGTCATCATACGTCATCACTTATTAATACAGCTACGTCAACACTTATTAATACAGCTACGTCGTCACTTGTTAATACAGCTACGTCATCACCAATTAATATAGCTACGTCATCACGTATTAATACATAGATACGTCGTCACTTATTAATACATAGATACGTCATCACTTTATTATTAACACCGCTACCCGATTTGCGTCGCTTCAACCCCCTCACACTTACGTTGCTGTGTGTGTACGCGTGTTCTACATGTGTGTACGAGTCTTCTACGTGTGTGTTTTATGTGTGCACGTGTTCTACGTGTGTGTACGCGTGTTCTACGTGTGTGTGCGCGTGTTCTTCGTGTGTGTACGCGTGTTCTACGTGTGTGTGTGTGTGTACACGTGTTCTCCGTGACGCCGACAGTGTGAAGGTGAATACAATGAGGTTGACCTGAGTGAGTAGGGGTGAGTAGGGGGTGAGTGTGGTGAGGCTGACTCTCCCCGTGACTCTCCCCGTGACTCTCCCCGTGACTCTCCTCCCGTGACTCTCCTCCCGTGACTCTCCCCGTGACTCTCCTCCCGAGACTCTCCTCCCCGTGACTCTCCTCCCCGTGACTCTCCTCCCCGTGACTCTCCTCCCCGTGACTCTCCCCGTGACTCTCCTCCCCGTGACTCTCCTCCCCGTGACTCTCCTCCCCGTGACTCTCCTCCCCGTGACTCTCCTCCCCGTGACTCTCCTCCCCGTGACTCTACTCCCCGTGACTCTCCTCCCCGTGACTCTCCTCCCGAGACTCTCCTTGTGACTCTCCTCCCCGTGACTCTCCTCCCCGTGACTCTCCTCCCCGTGACTCTCCTCCCCGTGACTCTCCTCCCCGTGATTATCTCCGTGACTCTCCTCCCCGTGACTCTCCTCCCCGTGACTCTCCTCCCCGTGAATCTCCTCCCGAGACTCTCCTCGTGACTTTCCTTCCCGTGACTCTCCTCCCCGTGACTCTCCCCCCTCCCCCCCCCCCCGTGACCGCTCTCTCCCCCCGCAGTTCCTGCTCTGTGGCGTGTGCGGCGTCTTCTGCGCGAAGAGAAAGTCGGGGAGGCTGGTGAGTGGGACCGCCGCCTTTTCATTTCAAAAACCCGCGCTCGCCACCTTCACCGCACAGCACGAGGTGTGCGGCAATTCCTAAAACCAAACTTTTTTTGTTTTTCGTTTCATTTCACCAGGCTAAGGCCCACTGAGCTGTGTGAAGCGACGTCGGCTATCGCAAACGATAGCCTGAGGAAAGTGGCTTGTCATCGTCGCGTGGAAATTATATAGCGCGTGACGTTGATTCTGAATGTGGAGAGGAGAGAGAGAGACACGCAAACTCCAAATATACAGCAGCAGGCGTCAGGGTCAGGATCGAACCCACGACCTCCTGTATACCAGGCGAGGTTGTTAACATCTCCTAGCCACCGTGATGATGATGATGAGAGAGAGACACGCAAACTCCAAATATACAGCAGGCGTCAGGGTCAGGATCGAACCCACGACCTCCTGTATACCAGGCGAGGTTTTTAACATATCCTAGCCACCGTGATGATGATGATGATGAGAGAGAGACACGCAAACTCCAAACATACAGCAGCAGGCGTCAGGGTCAGGATCGAACTCACGACCTCCTGTATACCAGGCGAGGTTGTTAACATCTCCGAGCCACCGTGATGATGATGATGAGAGAGAGACACGCAAACTCCAAACATACATCAGGCGTAAGGGTCGGGATCGAACTCACGACCACCTGTATGTAAGGCAAGGTAGTGAACATCTCCTAGCCACCGTGGCGCCAAAATAACTATACATATAGCAGCCAAATACTTAAACGCTTGATGTCGTTTCTAAATGTGGAGGGGGAAAACCGGAGGACCCGGAGAAAAATCCACGCGACCACAGAGAGAGAGAGAGGGGGGTCGGACAAGGCGGCGGGGGGGAAGGAACTTTCATTTTTATTACAGAGTTAGGTTCCAAAGGTACTGTGTTCGTAAGTCCAACTTTACTCCTGTCGATCCCAAACATGTTGTACGGCGTGTACACTTTACACGGGGAATTACTTTACAAGTTGTATAATCTCCTGTAGATGTAGATGTCACCGGTTCTTCATGTTCTGCAAGTGTAGATGCCACTGGTTCTTCACGTTCTGCAGTTGAAGATGCCACTGGTTCTTCACGTTCTGTAGATGTAGATGCCACTGGTTCTTCACGTTCTGCAGATGTAGATGCCACCAGTTGTTCACGTTCTGTAGATGTAGATGCCACCGGTTCTTCACGTTCTGCAGATGAAAATGCCTCTGGTTTTTCACGTTCTGTAGATGTAGATGTAGATGCCACTGGTTCTTCACGTTCTGTAGATGTAGAAGCCACTGGTTCTTCACGTTCTGCAGATGTAGATGCCACTGGTTCTTCCCGTTCTGTAGATGTAGATGCCACCGGTTCTTCACGTTCTGCAGATGAAAATGCCACTGGTTCTTCACGTTCTGTAGATGTAGATGCCACTGGTTCTTCACGTTCTGTAGATGTAGATGCCACTGGTTCTTCATGTGCTGTAGATGCCACTGGTTCTTCACGTTTTGTAGATGTAGATGCCACTGGTTCTTCATGTTCTGGAGATGTAGATGCCACTGGTTCTACACGTTCTGCAGATGTAGATGCCACTGGTTCTTCACGTACTGCAGATGAAGAGGCCACTGGTTCTCTATCTTCTGTAGATGTAGATGCGATTGGTTCTTCACGTTCTGTAGATGCCACTGGTTCTTCACGTTCTGCAGATGTAGATGCCACTGGTTCTTCACGTTCTGCAGATATAGATGCCACTGGTTCTTCACGTTCTGTAGATGCCACTGGTTCTTCACGTTCTGCAGATGTAGATGCCACTGGTTCTTCACGTTCTGCAGATGTAGATGCCACTGGTTCTTCACGTTCTGCATATGTAGATGGCACTGGTTCTGCACGTTCTGCATATGTAGATGCCACTGGTTCTTCACGTCCTGCAGATGTAGATGCCACCACCACCATCAATTGCACGGCGGTTGAACTGAGGCCTCTCGGTCCGTACAGGTGACTGGATATACGGACAAAAGTTTATTTCGTCCCTCCGAAAGTTTGGACGTCGAATGTTCGAAAATAGAGGAGTCCCTGTATTCATTATGCGATTGGTAAATTTAATATGGCGGGTGGGGGTGGGGGGGGGTGCTTTAAAATCGACGCCACGAATGCAAAAACCGCCGCGCGGAATCCCGGCAAGGCATGAATTATTGAAACTCCGCTTGCTTCAGTCTGCCACGTGCGACGTGGACGCGGCGCCCGAGTGGCTGAGGCAACTTATAAGAGCCCCGCTCGCCGGACGATGGCACCGCAAGTGGCTACCGGGAGCCATGCATTATTGATGCCCCCCGCCGCATGAGATGTCCATCGATTTTTTTTTTCTCGTAGTTGTGTGGCGGGCAAGAGGAAGAGGAGGGAGGGGTGGAGGTGGTGGTGGTGGTGGTTTGGTTGAAACGCTCAGTCAGTTCAAACTGAGCTGACGACGAGGAGGAGGATGATGAGGAGGAGGAGGAGGAGGCGGTGTGGCGGCAGTGGACGCTGCGTGGGTCACCTCGCACGCCACCCACGGTGGTGGAGGGGCAGGGCGGTGTGCATTTGCTGGTTTGGAGTTCACCATCACGGATTGTAGTGGTAGACTTAGCGAGATTCGTAGTGGTAGAGTTAGTGAGGTTCACAGTGGTAGAGTTAGTGAGGTTCATAGTGGTAGAGTTAGTGAGGTTCATAGTGGTAGTGTTAGTGAGGTTCACAGTGGTAGAGTTAGCGAGGTTCATAGTGGTAGAGTTAGTGAGGTTCATAGTGCTAGAGTTAGCGAGGTTCATAGTGGTAGAGTTAGTGAGGTTCACAGTGGTAGAGTTAGTGAGGTTCATAGTGGTAGAGTTAGTGAGATTCATAGTGGTAGAGTTAGTGAGGTTCATAGTGGTAGAGTTAGTGAGTTTCATAGTGGTAGAGTTAGTGAGATTCATAGTGGTAGAGTTAGTGAGGTTCGTAGTGGTAGAGTTAGTGAGGTTCATAGTGGTAGAGTTAGTGAGGTTCATAGTGGTAGAGTTAGTGAGTTTCATAGTGGTAGAGTTAGTGAGATTCATAGTGGTAGAGTTAGTGAGGTTCGTAGTGGTAGAGTTAGCGAGATTCGTAGTGGTAGAGTTAGTGAGGTTCACAGTGGTAGCGTTAGTGAGGTTCATAGTGGTAGAGTTAGTGAGGTTCATAGTTTTAGAGTTAGCGAGGTTAGTAGTGGTAGAGTTAGTGAGATTCATAGTGGTAGCGTTAGTGAGGTTCATAGTGGTAGAGTTAGTGAGATTCATAGTGGTAGAGTTAGTGAAGTTCATAGTGGTAGAATTAGTGAGTTTCATAGTGGTAGAGTTAGTGAGATTCATAGTGGTAGAGTTAGCGAGGTTCATAGTGGTAGAGTTAGTGAGGTTCATAGTGGTAGAGTTAGTGAGGTTCACAGTGGTAGAGTTAGTGAGGTTCATAGTGGTAGAGTTAGTGAGGTTCACAGTGGTAGAGTTAGTGAGGTTCATAGTGGTAGAGTTAGTGAGGTTCATAGTGGTAGCGTTAGTGAGGTTCATAGTGGTAGAGTTAGTGAGATTCATAGTGGTAGAGTTAGTGAGGTTCATAGTGGTAGAGTTAGTGAGGTTCATAGTGGTAGCGTTAGTGAGGTTCATAGTGGTAGAGTTAGTGAGGTTCATAGTTTTAGAGTTAGTGAGGTTCATAGTGGTAGCGTTAGTGAGGTTCATAGTGGTAGAGTTAGTGAGGTTCATAGTGGTAGCGTTAGTGAGGTTCATAGTGGTAGAGTTAGTGAGGTTCACAGTGGTAGAGTTAGTGAGGTTCATAGTGGTAGAGTTAGTGAGGTTCATAGTGGTAGTGTTAGTGAGGTTCATAGTGGTAGAGTTAGTGAGGTTCATAGTGGTAGTGTTAGTGAGGTTCACAGTGGTAGAGTTAGCGAGGTTCATAGTGGTAGAGTTAGTGAGGTTCATAGTGGTAGAGTTAGCGAGGTTCATAGTGGTAGAGTTAGTGAGGTTCACAGTGGTAGAGTTAGTGAGGTTCATAGTGGTAGAGTTAGTGAGATTCATAGTGGTAGAGTTAGTGAGGTTCATAGTGGTAGAGTTAGTGAGTTTCATAGTGGTAGAGTTAGTGAGATTCATAGTGGTAGAGTTAGTGAGGTTCGTAGTGGTAGAGTTAGCGAGATTCGTAGTGGTAGAGTTAGTGAGGTTCACAGTGGTAGCGTTAGTGAGGTTCATAGTGGTAGAGTTAGTGAGGTTCATAGTTTTAGAGTTAGCGAGGTTAGTAGTGGTAGAGTTAGTGAGATTCATAGTGGTAGCGTTAGTGAGGTTCATAGTGGTAGAGTTAGTGAGATTCATAGTGGTAGAGTTAGTGAAGTTCATAGTGGTAGAATTAGTGAGTTTCATAGTGGTAGAGTTAGTGAGATTCATAGTGGTAGAGTTAGCGAGGTTCATAGTGGTAGAGTTAGTGAGGTTCATAGTGGTAGAGTTAGTGAGGTTCACAGTGGTAGAGTTAGTGAGGTTCATAGTGGTAGAGTTAGTGAGGTTCACAGTGGTAGAGTTAGTGAGGTTCATAGTGGTAGAGTTAGTGAGGTTCATAGTGGTAGCGTTAGTGAGGTTCATAGTGGTAGAGTTAGTGAGATTCATAGTGGTAGAGTTAGTGAGGTTCATAGTGGTAGAGTTAGTGAGGTTCATAGTGGTAGCGTTAGTGAGGTTCATAGTGGTAGAGTTAGTGAGGTTCATAGTTTTAGAGTTAGTGAGGTTCATAGTGGTAGCGTTAGTGAGGTTCATAGTGGTAGAGTTAGTGAGGTTCATAGTGGTAGCGTTAGTGAGGTTCATAGTGGTAGAGTTAGTGAGGTTCACAGTGGTAGAGTTAGTGAGGTTCATAGTGGTAGAGTTAGTGAGGTTCATAGTGGTAGAGTTAGTGAGATTCATAGTGGTAGAGTTAGTATGGTTCATAGTGGTAGAGTTAGTGAGTTTCATAGTGGTAGAGTTAGTGAGGTTCATAGTGGTAGAGTTAGTGAGTT